ACGGTTGTTTGTAATTATTGTCATGGGGGTACATGACGGGGTGGGCTCAGGAGACCGGTAAGGCAGAAATGAAGTTAACTATCCTGTTAATGGGTTTCTGCCAAGGGCGACGATGGGTGGGCTGCACCGGCGATTCAAACGGTGCAGTTTGAACCTAGGGTTTACTCAACCCCGGCCCTTGGGATTTCTGGCCACCCCTAGTACCGTGGGTCAGTCAAAGTACGGTATTCCGAGGTGCCGCCCGCGAGGGCGCCCTCGAGTTTGGCGGGCTTTGGCGGGGCGGCGGAGGGCGGCTATTTAGGCAGCCGCTCGGTCCCCCTCCTTATCTTGTTTCGCACCCAGCCCTCCCGCCCTGGATAGTGGAGTTCGGGTTAGTTGTGGGATGGAGAGGGAGTTGAGGGAGTGAAGTGCGGGAGAGGGAGTTGACTCATGGGGAGTCACTCACTGAAATGGCGTTGAAGTATTAGCGAAGCGAATGGGCAAGTTTAAAGGACGGGAACCTCGGGAATGTGAAAGTTAACGGTGTTTGTAATTATTGTCATGGGGGTACATGACGGGGTGGGCTCAGGAGACCGGTAAGGCAGAAATATCCGATACATGCCCAACTGCTGAGACCCATGTGATGCAGGGCCATGATTTGACATTGAGAACTTCCTCAAAGTTGGGAGCGCCAACAATCCATCTTGAGCCCGCCCCCGCCCCCCCCCTCCTTCCGCTTTGCAGCAGCGACTGCACACAGCTCCACGCGGCCAGGCGCGACTCTGACTTGTCCACTCGCGAAGCGCCTTGCGCTGCCTGGGAGGGGCGAGACCTCTCATTTGTCGCCCGCTTCCGAGTGTGGCGCCGCCTCCCCAGTTTGGCCCCCGCCAGCTCTCGTCCGGCTCCCGAGCGTCAGCGCACATCGCGACGCCCCCGTCTTTGGCGGGTTCATCTGAGATCGTCTCAACTTCGCGTTCCAGGACAACAGCATTCGTGGATATTGATTGGGACGTCAGGAGCGGGAACCATAAGACGTCTCTCTTCGGCCTGTGGCTATTTCAGGGAGTCCCAGGTGATCTCCCTGAGGGGTGATCTTGGACGGCCTTCTCTGATTTCCTGGTTCAGCGGAGCAGCCAGCCTAGGGCTCTCCAGTCCATAGACCGGATGCAAGGGGCGTCCGACGCCGTTTGAGCGCGCCGCGGCATGAGTCCGCCGCTGATGCGGCAGTCAAGCCAGCCGGAGTGGGATCCCAGGCGCCAGGGTCGGCGCCTCCTGTCCCTGTTCGTGGACGTGCGCGATGGCGAGGTGGCCCCCCTGGCGCACGCTTTCTGCGCCTTCTTCTGCATCCTGTTTGCCTACAACCTCCTGCTGCCCCTCCGGGACGATGCTGGAGTGTCGCTGGGCACCAACTTCCTGCCCACGCTGTTTTTGATGTCGCTCGGGGCCGCAGTGATCGCGGCGCCGGTGGCGGCGTCATTTGTTTCCCGCCCAGGGTTGGCTAAAGAGAGGGCGGTGAGCCAGTTGTACTACGCGGTTGGGTCTTTGCTACTGGTGTTTTATCTGCTGTACACGGCGGCGTCAATTGGGGGGAATGGCGCTGGATCCACTGGATCTGCGCCAGGATTGGAGTCAGGGAGAGAGCAGGTGGTCCAAGGGGAAGGCATGGCATTGGGAGACAGTGGGAAGGATGATGGGGCTCCAGTTGATCGAGAAAATCCTGCAGATGGGGCTGGGGGAAGCCAGGGAGCTGAGGATGCTGTGAGAAACGGGGATGCTCACATGACCATGATGGGCCGCTCCCTCCGGGTGTGCTTGTTCCTGTGGGTGGGGGTGCAGAACCTGGTGGCCCTGTCGACGATGTGGGCCAGGTGTGCTGACATATTCACAAGCGATGCTGGCGCCCGCCTGTTTGGGTTCATAGGGGCTGGTGGGACATTGGGCCAGCTGGCGGGCTCTGCGACTGCTCGCGCAGTTGCTCTCAGGCTTGCCATGGGTGGTCAGTCTGGGAATCAAGGCGCAGCTGGGCCCCCACCCTACCAGCTGATCCTACTCTCTTCGTTCTTTCTCTTTTGCACAGGATGGCTGGCCAGCCATCTCAGGGGTGGTCAACCTCATGGCGGGCACAAAGCTAAAGGCATCCCACAAGAGGGCAGTGGGGCGAGTGGTCGGAGCTATGTTAGCAGGCTGTGGGAAGGGTTTGCTCTCATAGCTGCTTCGCCATACTTGCTCCACCTGTGCGGCTACCTCGTCCTAAACTACAGCGTGGCATCTCTGTTCTATTTTGAAAAGTCACTGATTGTTGCCATGAGCGTAAAGGACTCCAATTCAAGAGCGGCATGGTTTGCAACGGTCAACATGTACTCTGGTGCGATCATCGCTGTGATTCAACTGACAGTGACTGGAAGGGTCATTAAATATTTGGGAATGCCTTGTTCTTTGGCCATCACTCCATTCATTTGCACCCTGGTCCAGCTGCTTGTGTCCTGGAGCCCAATCCCAGACATGATCGCAGGTGCTGAAGTGGGTCGAAAAGTGTTGACATATGCCATTTCAAGGCCCGCGAGAGAGGCACTATTCACAGTGGTGAGCCAAGAAGAGAGGTACAAGGCCAAAATCTGCATAGACACTGTCATCCAGAGGCTGGGGGATAGTGCTGGTGCGATGATATTTCAAGTAGTGGAGGGTTTTCTTGCATTGGGGGCACACAGTGTCGCTTCTTGGGGATCCCTGGCATGTGTGGCTTGGTGCATATCTGCATACACTTTGGGGATGAAGAACCAAACTCTGGCAGCAGCAGCAGCAGCAGCAGCAGGTGGGTGACGCTGAGCTGTTCATAAGCTGATGACCTGGCTGCACCGCTTTGGGTGGACATTGTAGACGAATGCTTATCAACTAGTCACGTTTTTAAGTGGCTGTTGGAAACAACAAGCAATATGAACACTTGTGCTTGTCATCAGCATTTTTCCAGTCCTTGTTCTGTGGGCCATTTGTTTGGGCAGCGATGTGGATGTGTCAGTTATATGCTGCCAAACCATGTCTTCCAAGCCACCCCCCACCCAGACCAACAGACATGCCTATCCGCTGTGCATGTGCTACCCCTGCATCACCTTCTGCAATATGGATAACCACAAAGCTCTTCCTCAGAAAAGGGTGCTGCATGTATGCCCATTTTGCTATTGTTGAACAGGCAAGCTTTATCCTTGCTGTGAGCGCAGTTCTCCCTTGCTGTGAGCGCAGTTCTCCCCGGGTTGCTCAGTCTCTTGAGTAAGGCACAGTACTGGAGTGGCTGGCTTTCTGGCAAGCAAATGCACTGCCATTCCATTGTGTGGCATCACTGCAGGTGAGTTGAATTACACCAACTGCAGAAATAGGAAGCCAGCCACGCAGTACTATTCCTGTTGCACACAGCGGTACCTCCATCATCTCCTGAAGAATGTGAAATGGTCCCTTGCAAAGTTGGATCTTGTCCAGCACTTGAACGAGCCCCGCTGAGACTGTGCACAGCAACTGTCTGACGTTCTTCTCAGTGAGCCAGAAACGACGCGGCCATGATGGCGTGTTGGTACACCTATGCTCAATGCTGCCCGATTTGCCAGGCCTATGGAAGCAAGCAGCTTCGCCCTTGTCCATGAGCTTTTGGTGTTCGTGGTCGCTACTTCATGGACGGACAGACGTGGAGACCCCTGTCAACAACTTGTTAATGAACGGGGCACCTGGTCACTGCAACAAACGAAGCCATCCATATCGCGATGACTACAATCCTCACAATGTTAATTGAATGAAAATGAATCACTGAACCAATGTATCCTAAAAGGCAACGTGAAAACAGGACACACATTGGTGATATCGCGTGTCCCTACTAAACTCAAATCGTCATACACCGTCAGGTTGCGGCCCACACATGCGCCCACGCAGTACTCGGCAAACACCCCAGTCCCCACGTCATCAGAGCACACAAGTGTGCATGGTTGCAAGTAGCCCAAACATCCCAAAGGATCTTCAATGTGTGTTCCTGTGCCTCCACATGCGCCAACCACCCGGCGCCCCGCAGACGTCCCACTCCTGGACCAAACCGCTGCACTCCCATTGCACATTTCTCCGATATGGTATTCACTGAACTCTGCCAAGAACAAGCCCATGCCCTGACTGGTATCCGATTCCATTGTTTTGGCAGTGGTGGCTTACTGCAGCAATTCCATGCAGCGAGTCTAGCATTCAAGACGGAGATCAGCCGCCAGCCACGAGATGTTGATTGTTCCCACAGCGCAACGCTGGTCACAGTGCGGTATCGATGCGGCATCTAACGACACCCATCAGGACTGTTCGAACGGTCCAGGTCATGGAATTCCACGACCACAACAGAAAACACTGAGCGGAACAAATTGGTGAAAAACTGGTGCAAGCATTCCAACGTGAGACGGTTCCCACCGCGAGCCGCAATGGTGTTGGAAGTGCGGATGGCTGCGGGATGACTGAACCGGGGATCGAACCGGATACCTCTGGTGGGATGGTCCCCACGCTCCGCCAAACCACCCGACCGGACCCAGCTTCCTTGGCCAGGGGGCAAGGAAGAGGGCAGCCCACTCCCTTGGGCTCGGCAAGTCACCCCACGTTGGACCTTCTTAAGTACCATTCCACCCAACAGAAGCTCCAAGGCGGGGTGACCTGTCGAGCCCTAAGGCCCACCCCTCGGGCCCCGTCGTCCGACAGCCAGGCCCGCCACTGGTATCTAGCAGCGCACGTGCCGCTTTCAGGGAAGCTGGTGGAACGTGTCTTTGTCAACCTCGTGCCCCGTCGCCCTGAGGCCAGGCGGATAGGCCAAATTTCGACCGGCGGTGGCCACGGGGCCGCCCCGACCCCCGAAAACCTCTAGGGTCCCGACCCGCGGGTCGGAACCGGGAGGGCGAGGACGCTGGAGCCGAGGCCGATCACAAAACCAAAAACGGCGGATCAGCGGGAGCGCAGCCGGGGAGGGGCCGGCGCGAGGAGCGCCTCCGGCCTTCATTGGGACCAGGGAGAATGGTGCGGTCTCGCGGGGTGCGGGAAGCGCGCTGTGCGCAACAGTACTTGCCGCATTTTTTTGGGGGGGGTTTTCTGGAGGGGTAAAGGTGGCCGAATGGGATGATTCTGTGCGCATGGGTGGATGTTAGCGGACATCGTCGGCGGGGGGGGCAGTACGGTGGGTGGGCGCCCTCTGGCCGATGGCCGGTCGGTGGGGCCGGCTGGGAGGGTCGCCTCCTTGTAGCAGGCTGCGCGGGACGAGGGTGATTGGTCGATCTTGCTGCGGGGGAAGAACGGGGAGATCTGATGGATTGTGAGGGGTCCTGACGACAGGCCTCGCGTTGGGGGGGAAGCGTGTGTTGCGGCACGGGATGAAGGGAGGAAGGGCGCGGGGGAGAGCTGAAATGGCGGTGCATGTCGCCAAGGGTGGATCGAGGCACGGCTGGGAAGTGCTTGAGCGCATCGGCGCCTGTGCCCACAGATGGCGCTGTCGCCCAGCACGCCCGTACGCCCCATGTGAACATGCTTAACGCACCAGTCCACAAAATGGACTGCCTGGACCGCGACATGCCCAGTTCAAGCTATCTGCGTGCGGAATGGCTATCCTTGCTTTGGCCGCTGCGGGCTGCCTGGCTGGTCGAGGATGCTCATGTTCGTTCGTCATGGGAACAACTGGCGACGGCAAGCGTCCTGGCCGCTGGCCGCCCGCTCAAGCAGCATGCGCACGGTTGAACGCCGACTACAGCCCTGTCTCTCCCACGCAGCGCTGCATTCTCTCCGTGGCGGCGCTCGGATGATGTTGCTGGTTTGGGTCCAACATCGGGATTTCTGCGCATGCAGGTAGCGGGGTCGTCGATCGGATCGAACAGCAGATGCTGAGACGCAGCCCTGGCTCCCTCCGACTCCTACGCATTGTCCACGCAATAGCATCCCGAAGGAGATCAGAACGAGAATGGCATCGCACAGGCCAACCCTGAGCGACGACTATTCCGATGTGTCGAGCGACGCGTCGGACGTGTCGTCCATCAACGAGTTGCCTGCAACTGGGGTTCCGCTTCGGTACCCTTCCCCGGAGGACCTTGCGCTCGAAGGTAGAGAACAGCTATCTTCCGTCAAATGGGTAATTTTAGAAGCCCCGTTGTTGATCAAGGCAGCTGCCAGAGGAGGGGGTGGAGGGGACCTGTTCAGTTGACCACAATTTGCAGGTGGCATACACCCCTACCAGCAAGGGAGTGGGTGGAGCTGCCAGCCCTCTCAGCCGCATTCCCATACCCCATCTCTTTTGTTCTGTGTGATGTGCGGTTCATGGCACTTCACTGCCGGGTGGTGTTGTGCTGCTGTCCCTCTTGTGTTCTGGAACTTGACACGGGGCAAGCTCCACCCATGCTTGCAGGTGTGGCGTATGGCCAGTTGACCTTCCCACCACGGATAGCCCCACAGGGGTTTTTGCCACCCACACTGCCACCTCCATCAGTGTACCCAGTGCCTGCTAATCTTGCCCCTCAAGAGGATTCCGGGGTACAGTATGGCAAAGGGGACATAGAAACTGGTCGACCTGCACACACGCAGGTGGGTGCACACATCTTAGCTCATGGGTATGTTGTTCGACATCAACTGTCCTCACTGCAAATTTCTCCTTTTGTTGAAATGTGACAAACCGATTGGCTTGCACCCTTGTGGTCGATGTCAGGACGTTGTCATATCCACAAGTATTTGCTCCCAAGTTATAGTTGCTCAGCGGTGGTTTTGCAGCCACGGCTGGTGTCCTCAACATGGTTGCAGTGATGCGATCGGAGCAATAATGGAATGGGACAGTGGGGGTGTTGGGATGCTTTGCTTTGCCAAATTGCAGCACCTGCCAACTGTGTTCCCCACTTGTGCAGGTAGTTATCCCTCGTTTGCCATTGGACACCTTGAACCGCCCTGGGAAAGGGCCGTTGTACCAAAAGGACGCAAAGGTGCCAGGGCCCAACAGATATTTAACTGGCTTTATGGACAAGGTTGCAAGGACTGGCTTCCTTCGAAGGGTTCTGTGGATCGTCACTTTGCAGATGGCGATCACCAGCGCCCTCTGTGCACTGCTTCTCTTTGTTGGATCGGCTCAGGTGTGTACACATGCAGTTGCAGTTGCAGTGCCTCAATCTGGTCACCAAATGATGCAAAACCCTGGACCACCACTGGTGGCTCACAGGGAGATTTGCACTTCATGTTTTTTGAATTGTTCAATGGTCTCGATGTCATCGTTCAGGTTGCATGTTCGTATGCCCATCGTGGGGTTCTTGGCGTTGGTACAGGATGGTGGGCTGGACATGTGCATGCCTTTTGTGTTCTGGTTACCACTATGGTGCACAGGAAGTGTGACATGTTGCCCAGTCTTTGTGTGCTCCTCCACACTGGACATAAAGAGTTTCAGCGTTTTTTCACAACAGGCCCTGCAGACCTTGCCAAGGCTCCTGAATCTCAGCAAAGCATGACCTGTTCCACTTTGTTTCTCTGGTTTCTAGGATGGTTGTGCTGCATTGTCAATCTTCCTGCATGGCGATCGAAGCAGAAACCACCAATTCAACTGGAATTGATTTCCTGCCCCAATGGGTAGTGTACTGAGAAAGGATTGCTGTGATACATTGCCGTTCTGTGCTGCAGGAATTCTTGGCCGGAAACACGTGGATCATTTGGCTTTCCTGGATGGCGATGACTGGCCTCATTGTATGGGGGAAGTGCACATTCAACAGAATGCGCAGGGCCCCCAACAATTTAATCTTCTTGGTTGTGCTGACTGCTCTTTTGGCCTCTAGCGTCAGCATGGTGGTTGGCCGGTTTGGGAGCGAATCTCTGTTTTTGTCTGTCATCGTGGCCTTTTCCCTTGTGTTCTTCCTGGCTTCCATCACCAGCATGACACAGGTGGACGTCACCAAGTGGGTGCACATCCTTATGGCCACGTTCGTGTTTGTCTTCAGTGCCACAGTCGTCGGGGCGGTTTGGCTGAACGCGGTGCTCGGCATCGTGATAGCAGCCACAGGTGGCATGGCCTTCGCTATGTATGTGGTTTTCGATGTGCAGTCACTGCTGGCAGACACGGACAAGTGTCTGGACCCCGATGAGTGCATCGTGGGCGCTTCTTCCATCTACCTGGACATTGGGGGCGCCTTGACAGGCTGTTTGTCGATATTCAGGAAGGCCAGGAAATAAGGGGGAGTCCTCAGTGCGGTATGCAGGCGCCCATGGGTGCATATCCCTCCTGGGTTTGAAGGTTGGAATGGATGAAGTGAACCGCCTGACCGAGCACTAGGGTTGTGGATAATGGTGCCTGTTTTGGAGGCTGGCTGGTTGGGTGGGGAGACATCAGAATAATGATAGCAGAACGGAACTGCTCAGCAGTTTGTCTGTCCAGATGCGTGAAGTGTGTGGAGGTGATTCAAACCGGCTTTGTTCCTGGAATGCTGGGCGCTACAGCGGGATGCCCTTGGGAGAAACTCGAATAGCGAGGGGAGTAAATGTGCATGCATTTGTGTATTGGTTTTGGACAGTGGTACGTTGAGAGAGCACTGGAGCAAGTGGAAGGGTGATTGAGGGAATCAGTTTTACAGTGGTGGTCGGCACATTGACAGGCAGTACAGTGCACATCGCGACCATGGTGAGAACAGGAACAGAGCCAGTGGGTTGTTGTTGATTATTATCCTATCTTTCTTCATGTCAGGATAACAGTCCATCTCGCGGATGTGGAACAATACCGGACGCCACCAGGGTTGGCAAGATTCTGGCCTAAAATTGAGGCGATCGCCTCAGTATGTTGTAACGAAATGTTGGACACGCACGGCTTTCGGGCTGCCCCATGCAAGGCGCTTGGGTTTGTGTGTGATCACAACTATGGACTGATAAGCAGTTGCTGTGGTCGGCTAGCTGCTGCACGAACTGTGACTGGCAACTGCGGACTATTTGAACCGGCGGATGGCGTCAAGATCCCGATCATGGTCGGAACCGGTAAGATATCTCGCCAAGATCAGGGCACCAAACATCTGCCTACCTGCGTACTTCCATATGCTCGTGACACAGGCGTGCGAGCCCAAACGACTGCGGAGTTGGCTACAGTGCTGCCGCTGTTTTCAGAGGCAGTTCTGAATTTCGACGTTCAGAGTCTGAACTCCTGTTTTGGCTGTTCAGCCGAGCGAACGAAGCTGAGAACAGCCAATTGCGTCGTTGATTGACGAAACGCCACCCTTCCACTGCAAGTGCTTCCGCCCGTTTTCATCGCTGCATGTTATCTTCCAGAAGCGTGAGTGTCTTGAGAAGGTTGCGTTCGGCATTTGAAAAGGTTGCACTGTCGGCTGGCCTATCGGTGAAGCACGTCCCTACATCCGCATAGAAGTTACGGGCGTGGCCCAAATCATGACCACGGTGCCCATGTGAAGGGAGCGCCCTGAAAAGATGGGCACAATGGAGGCTAAAGTGCGTTCAATTGCGCTTGCTCAGGTGTGCAACTGTCCACATGTGCACGGTGTTCTTGCATTTTCACATCGTCCACGTGGAAAAATTTTTTCAGCGTGGGACGAACAGAAAGATGTGCTCCTCCGTGCGATGCTTTCAGCTTGTCAATATACTCTTTAAGTAGCCCAAACCAATCCAAACTTCCCACAATCGTTGGTGCTTGACTAAATATCAGCCTTCTCGAAAGTCCACCCAAAGATAGAACAGAGGCTTCTTTTGTGTACCATGAGTTTCTGTCGATAACCAGAGAGCGAACAGGTGATCAGAGGGCGAAAATTCAGATGTAAATCCAGTCTGAAAGTTCAAAGCATAGAGCAATCTGATTTCACTTGTTTCAATCTTCCAAAATGAATACATGCAAACATCTTGCCGATTGCATTCGAGACGCGCCGGATCACCTTCATTCTTGTATAGTTTAAACGATCCCAATAAGCCAAGTTGTTATCAATATGGTATTTTTTAGGGCAGTCCTTGAATTCCATACTCCTTGGAAAAAAAAGCAAGCACTGGCTTCAGATAATCACAAAGTCGAGAAAAAAAATCTAGAGGTAGACTGTCATTTCAAGGAACAACACCACATTTCAATCGTAGAATTGCTTGGCCAACTTCCATTTCTGAAATTGGTGCGGGTCAATGTAGCTGTATCATCCATCTAATTCAGTAAAAGTCTTTCAGAACGTTATGCCGTCAAAGGATGCAAGGAATGAAATCAGAGCAGAATTCAATTCCATCATGCAAAGGCACGCATTCATTCGGGATCGCACCTCCTGTATTGGAGATTCGAAAGAATGTCGAGGTTGGTGCTGAAGAAGGTAATGGAATTTTTGCCCGGTCTTGTTTTGAAAGGAGTCATGGTTTAGAGGAAAATATTGTAGTATGAGTTGAGAATATTCTATATCGCATTCTTCGAATCAAATCTGATCAGAAGCGCAGAAGCCTTCAGAAAGCATGTTTCTATCGAATTTTGCTTTCGAACTTCCCGCGGCAAGTCGAAGCGCGAGAAGAAGAAATGTCACGAAGCAACCATGTTACGGAGCTGGAGGAGAAGGGAAAGGGGAACGATGATTTGGACCTGTGAGAGATGCATCATAGATTGAGATCGATAAATCGCACAATAATATCGCAGAACTTCTGAAGCGCCTGAGAAAAGATCATATAACTTATCAAAGAGAGAGTGCACAGTGCGGAATGCTGAGCGTCATACAAGATCACCTCTACACCAACCATTATTAAAGGTAGTTCCCAATGACCTACCAATCCAATGTCTGCCACAGTTAAATGAATTTTTGTCCCGGAGTAGTGATACAGAAATGCAAGGATTGTCATCACAGATGTCAGAATCAGAATTATCCATATTATACTCTGGCAACTGAAAAAATGCAGAATGACCACCAATACGAGTAATGAAGTCACTGAACATCATAACAGGTCCAAATGGTTGTGACTGTAGTACTTGTCTATCATTCTTGCGCTGATCCCAACAATCACTACCCTTATATAGGAGCGCAGTGGAGGACTGTAACCAGCCACGTGGGAGAGTCTGAAACTATGAAAACGCCACAGCACGCAGAGCCATGAATAGGAGCAAAGGGGACAGAGGGAAACTCAAGTCTAGACACCTGTTGCATGCAAACTGCTACATCCCCTGAGGATCGATGAGAAACACGATGGAAGGAAAAGGTGTGATTTTTTGGTGGAGAGGAGGTAGAGAAGATTGCGACCCAGTTTCTCGAAGGGCGAGTACATCCTAAAATTAAGAGAGATAAATGTGGTTCTTAGGCTGGATCGAACGCCAGCAACTCAAAGAACCGAAACCCAAGGGAGCTGAAGTCCGTACCCCTGTTGATTGGAAGGTAGCGAAAGAACGATGTTCACATCAACTCCCCATTTCGCCAGGGAAAACAGAGTCCATGATTTGTTCAATGAAAACCCGCGAAGTGCAGGGCATGTTGTTGGTTGGGCGGTGACCGACTGCATGCGCACATGGCCCGCCAAGTTGCATTTTAGTCAAGACCTCTGCCGCAGGAAAAATAATGTTCTGGGGCACTGTCGCCGAAAAGAACACGTCAGCGTCGCAAAATAAACTGCTTTGGGAGGGTCGCAGAAGGGTTTACCCAGGCGAAAAAAAATCGCCTTCCCCAACACTTCCCAAATCGAAGCCCCAGCGGTTTGAACGAGCACCACTGCGTACTACAAATGGTTGCCAACGGTATCGTCACGTGATGCCCGCCTTTGTGGGGCCAGCTGTCGCGCGCACCCGGGAGCATATAACAAAGGGCGGGCGCACTCTCGCCGCTGTGTCGAGCCTAACGGTGGCGTCGCAGGACATCTGCGGCCCAAAGAGGCCGCAGGACGCACGGACCTCGCCTGGCAGCGCATGAAGATCGTGCACCTCTTCTCAAGGTGCGTGGAGCGCGAGCGCGGCTGAGGATCCGCGAAGCCGCACTTTGTCGGCGCATTGGCGAAATTCTGAGTCCAACAATCGACACAGCGGGCTGCCTTCTGCTCACGTGCTACACGGCGTCTTCGGCCCCTCAGGAACTGTTTGCCTGCGCCAGATTCCACGCCTGTGCCAGGGGCCCCCAGTTTGTTTCCGGCATTCGGGACCGCCGCTGACTGTCTTGATTGATAGTCCTGCCTTCAGTTGTAGTCAGTCAAGCTTCAACTTCTCTTGGGTGCTTTCGGCGGTAGCTTTGCTGGTCTTGTGAGGGGTCTGGCGCATTGATGCCCCAGTGCGCAGCAGATTTCAGTGGGATTCGCTGATCTATGAAACCGGAGGCTTTCGTGTAGGGTTGTGCTGCAATCCTCGCTGCAGACATGCTGTGCCAGGCAGCGATTTGCTTTTGCACACACATTGTACGCATGCCAGGTGTCATCGCCGCAGGACTGCTCTCCATGTATGCACCTTTGTAGCCTGTTTCAAAGTACAATGGTTGATGGCGACATGGACACTCATTCGGCAAAAACGTAAGTAGCCATCGCTTGCTGGCTGCCCCAAGCTGCTCCCAAACGCAGCTGGAAATGGTGTTTGAGCATCCACGAGGCTCTCATGCTCAGTCCACGAAAAAGAGTGGCATGGTGGTTCAGCATTGGTGCGAGTGGGACACTATTGGATCCATTTCGACCAAAGTGAGCAAGTAAAGGCAGGTCGGGCTTTGGATATTGCCCTTTTCAGTGTTAAAATCGAGTGCTCTTGTCCATACAGGAAGGGAGTGTCCAATATTATTTGGGACAAGCAGCAGTGGGCTCAGATCTACTGAAATTCGTTTGTATCAATTTCCTTTTACAGGACAACAAAATACCCTGCAGTTGCACTTGGCTGAGGGGATATTGTCATTTTGCCAAGGATCTAGATCCAATGAATCCTTCATATCTGGCTGGATCACAACCAGTTTTTTATTTTGTGGTATTTTCTCCAGGCTGACAGGGCCCCTGACTGGCTGTGTGCTGCAGATCAACATTGTTGCTTGTGGACTCAGTCTTTAAACATGAACCTCGGCTCTGCTGGCATCGGGTTCATTTCCAGCTTTTGTGATGACTCAGAATCTAGCGAACGTTTCAAGAATCAACTTGGGCGATTTACACCATGCTTCATCGACACGTTGGTGTTGGGTAAGTGGCATTCCACACTGAGCAACTGTTGTACATCAGTCATTGTGAAGTGGTCTGGGATGGTATCGTTTGTTGCATTGGGGAGTTTCAGAAGTTCCAGGGAAACTGGAGAGGCATCGTTGAATGGAATGGAGGACCAGGAGTGTTCAATGGTTACAAACCGATTACATAAGGTCATTTTCAGGAGTGCTTTGTGAACTACAGCAAAGTACATTCTATCCTGTTTTGCCAGGAGCATGCGTTGTTGGATGTCAACATGCTTCCAAGAAAGCATGGTTGGTGCACAGGCAGTGCTCTTGGTTGAAGGTCAATGTGCAAACTGTGCATTGCTCGAGTGGTGCCCCTTGTTCTCCTTGCTGATATTGTGAATGAGAAATGAGGTTGTCTTCTGTCTGCTCACAGGCCTTGCCCACATCATCTCCATTGTCCTTGTCTCCATGCATATCCATACGATCAGAACGAGCAGAGTCTCAAAATACTTCCAGCTGGGATGCTCCTTCTTCATTCAACTGCTGGGCATTGCCGCATCCCTGATATGCATTGTCATCCCCATAGTGCAGTTTGGTGCGCGACTGGCAGCTTCTGCCATCCCGCTGAGCCCGGAGGGCCCCATTGGGCCATACGAATGGCCAGGTAAACCTGACATCCATGGGGTGATCTGTAGATGTTCAGAGTCTGGCGTCGTCCCAGTATGGTATTTGATTTGAGATCATGGGATCATCATTCACATATTCAACTTTTCCTCTCAAGCCTTGGCTGGGAAAGGCGAGTAGCTCCTGATGGGTGCTTCTATTTACTTAGGGCAGCATCAGTGAAAACCGACTCAAACATGGCCCTTGCAATGACAGTTGCAGCACCATCTAACTCATGTGGTTTTGGTCTCCCATGGTCACATTTCTGTGCACCAGCAGGTGATGCTTGTTTCCATTGATTTGCACTATTGGGGGCTTTTGACAAACCCTTGTGTGCTCTCCATATCTGGCACTGGAAAGGCCCACACAGAATATCTGTTCAATGAACCAATGGTCAGGGCACAAGAACGCCGGTAGCTCAGATAATGGTTCCAAGAGAGCAAGGCCTGGAGATCGTATGGTCTGCAGGAGTGCATCTATCACCAAATATTAATGACTTGCAAACAAAGCAGAGTGATAAGGCTCACCATTCAATTCGACTGTATGCCTCACAAGCACTGTGTTTTGACTCATGATGTCATGTTTTCATCCTAGAAAGTGGCTAGTGATTCTCAGTTGTGTTAATGGGCTGTTCAAATGACTTGTACATTAGAATGGATTGTCACAAATGGCCAATTTGTGTCCTGTCCTGTTGTGCAGCTTGCATAGTGCATTAGTGACAACTCATGTAGTGGAAGTGGTCCAATACCATTTATCATTACAATGTTGCTCTCAGTTTGTTGCAGCAGCGTTTGAGGCTACAGTGAGTGATACACTTGCATGCCGTCTTGATATCAGTGCTCAGTAGTGATGGTGGACTCGAGAGAGAGCTGTGTGGGATGCATTACCAATAGTTGTAGGAAATTGGCAAAGTGCAAAATATACACTGGCAGTTTAGATGGCAACTGGACCCGATAACAACAGTTCTGAGTCCAAATTCCAATTTCGATTCATCCATGCTACCACCACTCTGACCTCACCAGTGTTGTTTGCTTTGATTGCAAGCATGTACTCATTCAGTGCAGCGATTGAGGTGCGATTGTTTGTGCCAACAGGCTATGTGCTCCCCATTATCTCTTGGGTGCTCGTTGCAGTTGCTCTGATTCTTGAGCTGAAGCACTTCACTTGGAGGGGCCTCTGGATGGTGAGGTTTTCCATATGCCTAGTTGCTGCGGGACAGCTTGCCAAATTCAGCTTCGTGCTAGAAGAGGAGAATCACAACCTGTTCTTCTGGGTCTTTGTGGCCTATGTGGCAGCACAAGTCGCTTTGGCAGCATACTCCCTGTTGCACTTCCCAATGAAGAGTGCATTGGAATTGAACATGGATGACATGGAGGGCTATCCAAGCGAATATGAGGTACGCACCTATTGCTGACCATGCTTGATTGGTATTCACGACCATCTGCAGATTGCGTAGATGGCAGCCTAGCTACAGCTTTATTTGCAGTACTGAAGTGTACCACGGCCTCTATTGCTGGATTGAGTGCATACACACCTGCCGTTAGGTGGTTGCAGCTTAATCTTGGGATGGGACTGGATTTGAGTTGTGCATTTGTCAAGCACACTTTTGGCGATACTCAAAGAGGTGGCTGAGAGTGGGGAGCTTGGTCACCTCAGAGCACTCATGCAAAATAAGTGGTAAAGCACATCTTGTATTAGGTTTTGCAAACTCTGTTATACTGCGCATTCACAGTCACGCTCACATTCACACACACACGCTCACTTGTTTCCAATTTGCGGTGCTGCCAGGTTATGGTTGGATCACGTTGTTGAGGAGTTGTTGCACTCTGTAACTGTCTATTGGGGGTATATATGAAGAAAGAGAAGCCTGTTGTGCAATGTGCAGTCCCAGCAAAAAAATAAGACTCTCTTCCTCACTGTGAACGATGATGTTGAAGTCTCTGAAGGTAGAGTGACACCACACAACACAAAATGAGTGGCACGACAGTTTTACATGACGTGTTTACCACAACTTGAAGAACACAACCCCTGAACAAATTTGGTGACGTTGGGTGGGCAGCTGCAGCACTCATACTCGTTTGTGCTGCTGCGCATTTGATCGGCAGGCTCTTGCTGGAGCGGACGAGGTGGCATCTGTTTCAATTGGCAATGTTTGTCCAGAGTACAGGGCCAGTATCTTTTCTCTGCTCACGTTCAGCTGGATGGGATCTCTTGCTCGAACAGGATACAAGGCACCACTGACCTTCGATGATATGTGGTCGTTGCCACCATACGACTTGGTGGATCGCAACCATGCAAGGTTCAAGGCGGCTTGGGCAACAGAAACTAAGAAGAAGCAGCCATCACTTACTAGGGCCATGTTTGATACTGCAGGATATTTAGTTTTGGCAGCGATCCCTTTGAAGCTTATCACGGATTTGGCTCAATTTGTATCCCCAGTGTTCATCAATCTGCTGCTGGATCTAAACTTCAGCGAGCCAGGAGCAACTACCAGGGGTTATGTTTATTCAGGTGCGACAAGTGGGAATTCACATTGTGCTGCAGCAGCCACAGGTCTACAAGTGGCCAATGACAGCAATGTCTGCTGGTGTCCACAAGTCCAATGTGTGTCTTTTGTATCTTTTGTTGTAGTTTCAACTTGCAAACCTTGCATCGGCAGTCACAGCATCCCAAGTGAAGTGTTGCCCAGTGCTTGCCAAAGATGTAACTGCGACTGCACCAGTTTCCTGTGCATGTTACATGGCTGGACAGCAAGACCTCAGTTCAAGTGGCTCAGCTGCAAGTAGAACTACCACCGCTGAGGTGTAGAATGCTTGACGACTCAACTCTGGTCTCTTGGTGATGCTTTGCAGGCCTTGTGCTTGTGGGCCTCATCATTGGAACCATAACTGACAACCAGCAGTTTCAGAGGGTCATGAGGGCTGGATTCAGATTGCGGGCCGTGTTAATCGCAGAGTTGCACCGCAAGATCCTCTACTTGACCCCGTCTGATCGTGCCAAATTCAGCTCTGGGCGCATCTTCAACTTTGTAGCATCTGACACAGAGACTGTACAGCTAGTGTGCCAGAACTTGCTGGGCCTCATGTCGTCCCCAGTGCGGATTCTGGGAGCAATGGCGATGCTGTATGCAGAGCTGGGCCTTGCCTCGTTGGTGGCCCTTGCCTCCCTCATACTGATGGTACCAGCACAGGCTGTGGTTGTGAAGTGGTCGACCACATATATGAAACGTGCCCTAAGCTTGACCGATGAGAGGGCTAAGCTGGAAGGGGAGCTGATGTCAGGTGGGAGCCTGCAGAGCGTACCAGGCATGAGTGTGTCCCGGGCTCAAGCCCAAGTTCTGGACCTCGAAAGCCTGAGGTCCCGCAAATGCTTTGCTGCACATAAACGAAGCACACTGTTGCACATTGTTGGGGAACATGAAGGCAGCAGCAGCTCTTTGCACTTTTGCATGGCCAGCTATTGGTGATAGGGTGACTGGAAGAAGCCTTCTGAGTTGTTTTATTTGGGTGAACTCTATCACGTTTGTGTCCATGTGGTGTATGTTGTGGATTGTGCTTATGTATCGATGTGTGGTGCATGTTCTACACTCTGATTCAAGATTCAAACAGGATGCCCACTTATCTAATTCTTGTTAAGATTTCTGCCAACCAGCTTTCCTGGCCATTAGCCATTTATTTCCTTGCATTTGCTAAACTCACAGCCATACCATTGGTGTTTTGGCCCAGGGGGCCATGTTTGCACCTGTGGCTACTCTGTGTGTGTGTGTGTGACAACAATCGTAAACAAGCAAGAACAAGGCATTCCCCTTTTTGCTGTTTCTAAGATGCCCAGCATGCGAGCAAGCTGAACAGGAAATCTTTTGCATCCAGTAGTTTAGCACACAGAACAGGTGCTGTCGTGTGCAGCACACCTGTGGAATTGCATGACATCGCCTCAGGAATGAAATGGCGCGCATTTGTGATCAGTGAGGTTTCAGTTTCACTTTGGAGTGTGTGACCAGTTGTGTTTGTTATTGCCAGGTATTGAAGTAGTGAAGACAAGCACATGGGAAATGCCATTCCGGGGGCGCATCATGGACGTTCGGGGCAAGGAGCTGGCAGTGCTGTGGAAGTCGTTTGTCCTGAGCGCCTGCAACACCTTCCTGCTGACGTCCATTCCAGCAATAGTTGCAGTGACGACGTTTGGAGTGTACATCGCCCTTGGCAACAACCTGGATGCGTCCACAGCTTTCACATCCCTGACCCTCTTTGGGATATTGAGGTTCCCGCTGTTCCAGCTCCCCTTGCTTGTCAACCAGCTCATCAATGCTGGCGTTTCAATCAAGCGAATGCAAGAGTTTCTCTCCAGCCAGGAGCAGCCAGAGATGGAGGCCACACCAGCAGCCCCTGCAGGTGTTCTATGCCAGCATGGCTGCTGATATCGGTTCTACAAACACCCAACGTTGTCCAATGGTGAAGTTCCTGAGTGGCTGCATTTGTCAATACTTGACAAAGGTCTTTCCTTACTCCCATCAGGCAATATCAGGCACCATTCCCTTTCACAAGCGTTTGTTCCCAAAGACATCTTTGTACAGCTCAAACTGAACAGCCTGAGGAATCGCCTGTGTTGCCTGGAAGGTGCAGTGGGATTGTGCTGGCTGGCAGCAATGCAGTGATGGTGCCATCTTGAGTTGTACAGTCATTTTTGGATATGTTTTTCGCTCTGTACTGCAGGAGGAACTGCTATATCCATGCATGGCGACTTTTCATGGGACACATCCTCCCCGCCATGTCTCACTGACATCAACTTGGACATTCCAGCTGGGAACTTGGTTGCCATTGTCGGATCAACTGGAGCAGGGAAGTCGAGTCTGCTGTCCAGTATGCTGGGCCTCACGCAGCAGGCAAGCAGTGTCCCCGCTCCTTGCAACATTGCATAATATGGAGTGCTAGCATCTCAAATGGTACAAACAAATAGATAAAATGTTACTGACTGTGCCACAAGGGCCTACTGATTTCACCCAATCCCTTGTCCTGAATTGTTTGCCATATGGGCGTATTCTTGCATACCCAAGCTAGCATTGGTCACTGTTTCTGTGTCATCTTGCAGTGACAACGTTGAAATTCTGCCTCAACCTGCCTGGTGGTGCACCTTTGTGGTCGGGTTAGGGTTTGCTTTAAGAAGCCAGACATCTGTTCTGCTCAGCTTCAGGGCGTCATGTACTTGCTTGTTCAAGGAATCATGTAGTGTCAGGAAGGATGTGACACTGTGAGTTTGGGTGGTGACTTGTACCCAAATGGTGGCCAGCTGTTTGAGCTCTGGCATGCTGGTGTAGGTATCAGGAGGGCCCTTGTTGATGGCAGGATCAGTTGCCTTTGTTCCCCAGTCCCCTTTCATCGTGAATGCAAGTGTCCGTGAGAATATTCTCTTTGGTCATGAGTTCAACGAACAGAAATATGCAGAAGCCGTGGAAGCAGCAAATCTGGCCCCAGACTTTGCAGCAATGCCAGGCGGGGATCTGACTGAGTTGGGTAAGCCCATCGATCTTGCCCTCCATAGCAATCAAATGCAACCTTCATTGCACTTTGTTAGGCATCGGCAGATGGTGTTTGAGTTTTGCTTTTGAAAAAGTGGTGTGTCCCTGTGTATGCTCACTAGCAAATTGCTGAATACCAAGTCTGCACTATCACACCATTTTTAGACACTGGTCTCTCAGTTTGTTGTTGAGCGCAACTGCACCACAGCACAGATATTTGGACACAGGGGCAACAAGTGGCAATGTGAACTGTGGGATCACACGATGCTTAAGTTGGAGGCATCTTGTGTGGCCCTTTAGTGGTTGCCCACTCGATGGTGCTAACACATGAACGGCACTTTGAATGTGCTTCAACAGGTGAGCGTGGTGTCAATGTCTCTGGCGGTCAGAAGCAGCGAATAGCGATTGCCCGTGCTGTCTACTCTGGTGCCGACACATACTTGATGGACGACCCTCTGTCAGCCTTGGATGCCAAGGTTGGGCGTGTGGTCTTCAACAAGTGCATCATCGGCCTCCACAAGGGCAAGACAAGGGTGTTGGTGACCAACCAGCTCCAGTACGTCAGCTCTGCAGACATGGTGGTCTTCATGAGCGATGGGAAGGTGGCAGAAGTGGGGCCGTACAGTGAGCTGATGGCTGCAGGGAAGGGGTTTGCACGCATGATGGCTGAAGCGCAGGTACACCTTGTCAGCTGTGTCAGCAGATAACCACGAGACTTATTCTGTTCAGCCCACATTTGTCAATGGGTGACAACCCCGTCCTTGCATCTCCACAGCGATGACAAGCATCATTCTATAGGTTCATGTTCCCAATTTCTTGTTCAAAGAGTGAGCTGGTAAGGAAATATAGGCATACCACATATTGACAGGCACCCCCCCAGCTGTAAGAATATCAGGAGGCATGGTTTTTATTCTGCTGGAGGTTGTGCACAAGGCTCTGATCATGGTATCAGTTGGTTTGTGTGGCAATTAATACCTTGACAGTCATTCACACTGAGGCGCAGGAAATCTGGTGTTGGGGGGCCTACAGAAAACTGCGCTCCACTGATGGGTTGAGATGTTAGAGTTTTGCAACATGTGCAGTTTGCTGCCTTTAGGCGCTGGTCAAAATGCAGTTGCAGTTTGCTACTGGTTGTTGATCCCTGTGCTGTCGTGTGAAAAATGCTGCCTTTTCCCTGATGCCAAATCAACGATGTGATTTAAGAACGTTGAATCATCTCCAGGTGGAGGAGGAACCTGAGGGATCAGATGCAGGCAAAGACAAGCCCCACAAGCCGTCCAGCACCCCTGCACAGCCAACGCCTTCTGCTGCACCCACACAGGCACCACCTGCACCTGCTGCAGCTGCTGCACACAAGGAGCAAAAGCTCACTGATGTCGAGAAGAGATCCACTGGTATTGTGTCACGCGTGGTGTTGTGGGCATACGTGAAGGCAATGGGTGGACTGGCACCCTTTCTGGTGCTCATGGGGCTGTTCATTTCTGTGGAGATTTTCCGAACGCTGGCAACTGTGTGGCTGTCATACTGGACAGGTGAGGAGCAAGGGACTTGGGTTGGATGGTTGGGGATCTGTTGCGAGAAGGGGGCAATGCCATGCAATGGGCATCCACCATCATTTTGTTGTCGCAAATCAATGAGAAACAGCTTGTGCTGCCTGCAGTGCACATAGCAATCTGTTTTACTATTCCAACTGGAATGTCACCTATTTATTCCAGCCTGTGTGATCTGATATGGCAAATTGTGTTATCCACCAAGTTGTGCATGCTGACACTATACAACACCAATTGCAAATGTGTGCTGAAAGAATGGTGCAGCACATGTTTCAAATGATGCCAGCATGCTGGCCACTTTGAAGACCAAGGGGAGATAATTCGAAAAGAACCCTTATAAGTGCAATGACCCCACAACTAGGAACAATTGGCCTGTCCCAAGTATTACGGATTCACATCGCTCTGAGGCAGCAATGCAGACACAAATCTCCTATTATTCTTTCTACAAGGAAGTACACATGATTAAGACTTTGTCGGGGAAAACTCTGGGAAGGTTCATCCACCTTCTGTTTTTCCTCCAAAATCGCAGTAACACATGATAGGAAGTATTACAGCTGACTCTGCCCGATTCAAGGGCTGTTGCTCGGCTTGTCCACAGCGAGAGCACACCTCTTGTTGCTAATTTTTGTGTTGTGTGCTATTGCAGAGCAGGGCGACAATGTGGATCAGGAGTTCTATATGGAGGTTTATGCTGCCCTCTCCCTGCTGCAAGTCGGAGCCGCTCTTGTCAACCAGTTGGATTTGAAGCATCTCAGCACTATCGCAGCCGACACTCTGCATCAGTCCCTGTTGGACAGACTCCTGCGTGCTCCCATGGCGTTCTTCCACACTACGCCCATTGGGAGGATAATCAACAGATTGACCCGCGACACATCTGACATTGACAAAAATTTGGCAGATTTCGTGGCCATGTTCTTGAGGTGTGCAGGCACTGCTGAATCGGGGCTGCCAAGAGCCCAACCTATTTGATTGAATCCCTGACAGTGTAAATCCATTGCCTCTGCTTGCCTTTCGCCTAAAACAATGTGCTTGAAGGAGGCATTTCTGTTGTATTCGATTCTGGCCGATGCAACATGGTTTGCCATTTCCTGGTGATGAACGATCTGTGCTGTTGAGAACTCCCAAACTATTGTGGAAGCTGCATCTACTGGTGCTGTTGTTTATTTCAGTATGATAACCCACTGGGCCTTGCACCTGTTGTGCAATATCAAATGTGGTTCACAGCAGCAACTGTTTCTTCCCACTATACAATTGCTAGGAGAGGCGGACACCGCATTATGCGGTTCATTTTCGTTCAGCCAGCCTTCAGCAATGCAGCAAATTGGTTCTCGTATGGCAGGGCACACTCTCAGAACCTTGTTTGTTTTGTGGTGGTCTGCAGGGGCTTTTTGCAGCTCATAACAACCATCATATTGATCGGAATCTTCACCCCCTTGGCACTGCCATTCCTAGTTCCGATCATGCTGCTCTTCTATTGGCTGTATGTGTACTTTCAAACGACTGTGCGTGAAATCAAGCGGCTCGATTCGATCAATCGCTCCCCAGTGTATGGATCAATCAGCGAAGCCCTGAATGGACTGGCAACAATTCGTGCATTTGGGGCGGAGAAGAGGCTGGTCGCCCGGCACGGAGAGTTCATTGATAGCATGATCGTGATGAGTCTTGCGAACCAGTCTATGAACAGGCGAGTTACCGATATTCAGGTCTGGTCCTATGCCATCCATACCGGTGTCTTCAAAGCTTGAGTCAACAGCTGCCAAGAAGGAGTTAAATTGTTGCTGCTTCTAGCTTTTGTGCCTCACTTGACAGAATCAAGTGGAATTCCTGTGAATGGAGGACCATCGTTTTGCTCCATCGTCGCACATTGTTGTGCTTCCTTGGTGTGCCAACTTCTTACCTTGCACATTTGTTGATCGGCATGCAGTACTGTCAAGTCACTGTAAGATATGTTGTTGACCGACACACGGGCTGCATCTAGATTCAGGTGTCCAAGACAAGTTTTTGTCTTCAGTTTAAGAGTTTCCAGTGACATTGACATCCATTTCTGTGGGGCCAATCATTGCTAGGTGGCTCAGCATTCGCCTGGAGAGCCTTGGGGCACTTGCAGCATTTGCAGCAGCAGTGTTGACAGTGGAGCAGAAGGGAAGCTCTGGAGTTGCAGGTCTTACACTGACATACGCATTTTCGATCACGATGTTGACAACGATGTCCGTGCGCCTGGCAAGCCTTGCAGAAAACATGTTCAATGCCGTGGAGCGCGTGGCAGAGTACACCGAAATTGATCAAGAAGCCGAATATGACATTGCTGGATCGGTTCCGGACGATTGGCCAGACCAGGGTGGTGTGGGGTTCAACAATGTACAAATGAGGCAAGTGGCACAATTTCTCATCTGCAGCATTTGTCAGAATGCGACAGTTCTGTGCCCTCCAGGTATTGTTGATGCAGTCATCAGTGTTGGATGGCAAGACAAGTGGCAGATTGCTGGCAGCTGTGTTTCCTCTCTAGTGGTTGAATGTTTATGTAGGATGAGTAAGAAGCTGCTTGTGGAGTCGTCCATGCAGCGCTCCAAGCTGCGCTTTTGGGGCGATAGTGTTGGCTTGTTCCTTGATGTCTTCCTCCAAACAAGGGGGTAGAATGCAGGTCCAGGGTGCTTGAGGCTTGTTATTTGTACTGGATTGAATCATTGGTGCACATGATTCACTCAATCTGACCCTGTGGAAATCAGAATGCCATTGAAGTTCTTTATTAGTACTCAAAACTCGTATGCAAAGAGCTGCTGTCTGGAAGCTGATTTCAAACTTATTTGACAGTGTAACTAGACCAACCTTGAAGTCAGTCATGGGCATCAAATTGAACACACAGCGAATGCACAGCGTTGTGTGACGACATACAAATGAAATATAATAGCACCAGAAGGAATTCCAGAGTGGCGTGAACTCATACTTCACCTCTGTTGTCACTGTGAAGACTAAACTGCATGGTTCGCCCCTGAAACTGCAATTTGTATGGAGATCCTTGTGCCATGTTTTGGAGTATTGATGCTGGATGAATGTTTTGTTTGAACACTTGCCAGGTTTGCTCGTTGTGGTTTGGTTGACGTTCGTGCTCATTTTGCACCCATGCTTGCGCTCTTTAACTTCCAGATGCGTTCGTTTTCCAGGTACCGCCCGGGTCTGCCACTGATATTGAAAGGCCTGACCGCCACTATAGAGCCGGGTCAGAAAGTTGGTGTGGTTGGCCGGACAGGCGCAGGAAAGTCCTCCCTCATCAACGTGCTCTTCCGCCTTGTTGAGCTCTCTGATGGCACCATTGACCTTGATGGAATTGACCTGTCGAAGATTGGCCTCAGGCAGTTGAGGAGCCGGATGGCTATAATACCACAAGTCCCTGTCATGTTTACTGGCACTATGAGGGCCAACCTGGATCCCTTCAATGAATACAGTGACGAGGAAGTCTGGGCAGCGCTGGGGCGAGCACACCTGGATGGGGTGGTTGGGACAAACTCTAAAGGGCTGGAGATGGAGCTGCAGGAAGGGGGTGCGCCTCTGAGTGCTGGGCAGAAGCAGCTGGTGGCATTGGCAAGAGCCCTCCTAAAACGTTCCAAGGTAGGCTTCAAGTGCACAGAGGTTCCATTGCCTGTGCCAAGCAACGATTGTGGTGGTGAGTACTTTTGGAGCTTCACAGACAGAAGCCAGAGCCCCAAGTTGCATGGGTTTGGTGTGCAGAGTCTTGCTTGGGGATTGTGCATTAAGATAACTGCAGTAATGTTGTTCTGTTGAACAGAGTGGGGTGTGCGCAGCACATGGAGGCACGCCAATTGCTTGAATTGTTCCCCCATTATTGGCTGTAAGGTCAGGAGCATAGCCCACAAAATCCCACTTTTGAGGTGTGTTGGAAATCTGTGTGGATTTTCGAACCGAGAGAGATGTGCTCAAATTTGCCTGTGGTTCTCAGGTCCTGATTCTCGATGAGGCCACAGCAAACGTTGATGTTGAGACAGATGCCCTCATCCAAAGGACTATACGCGAAGAATTCGCTGATTGCACTGTCATCGCCATAGCACACAGGCTGCACACCATCATAGATGGTGATCGCGTGCTTGTGCTCGATGCAGGCCAAGTGGCAGAGTTTGATTCACCAAAGGAACTCCTGAGTCGCCCTGATGGCATCCTCACAGGTGAGGGGTTTCACATTCGTTTGATACCGCTTTGCTGCTGTGTAGGGAACATTGTTTCAAGCAATCTTCAGCAACATACAAAAGTATGCACAGCTGGCTGTTGCCACTGGTAGCCTTGCTCTCAACTGGAGCCACGTGTTCAAAAGCGAACGAGTTGGTTGATTGACCACTGATGTAGCAGTTGTAAAACTGATGAACTGCAAGACACAGTCATCCTCTCATGCAACAGGCCACACAATATGACAGTGGAACTTGCTTTAGTTGTGTGCGAGGTCATGGAGCCCTTAGTATGGAATTCGAACAAAACAGACATGTTGGTTGTGGATGTCGGCCTGTTGTTGTTGTGCGACTCTGGCCAATTTGTGATGCTGTTGGTTTTGACTCTGCTCTTGCATTCGATTGTGGCACATGTTCATGCATGATGTCGGTGTGTCCTTTGAATGCAGGCATGGTCCATGAGACAGGAGAGGCCACAGAACGGCTCCTGCGCGCCATCGCTTTTGGTGAGGTCAAAATGGTCGACATCGCAGCAGAAGAAGCTGCCAAGGCACTCACTCGTGTTGGCTCAGAGAAACTTGAGACACCACGGACGTTGTCAGCAGACCTGGTATCATATGCTCAAACAGCCATGGAGCAGCTCCGACATGTGCATGCGAAATTGAGCGAAAAGCAGGAAGAACAGGACCAGCAGAGGGATCTTGGAGTCATGGTAAGCTGGATGATCTCCACTGCTGGCACTTTTGCGTGAACATTGGCTTGCATGCCTTTGTCAAAACTTGACAAAGCACTGCCTTTGTGCCTAATAGGTGCTGTTGGGCACTGCTCAGAGGCACAGGCAATGGTCCACAACACGTTTTGTGTTTCTACTCACGATACTTAGCTCCACACTTGTGAGACAGTCCCAGCTGGCACAAACAGGGCAATCCTGCACTGTGGTCCAGGACATCAAGGACTTGCACTGAATGTCCAACTATGCGACCCGATTCAGTGCGTGCTTTGAGCTGTCATTCCCCAGTGGAGGTGCCTGCCTGCCAACTCCTCTCTACACAAATGTTAGAGCATGGAGGCACCTAAAGATAGGCAAAACAAATGGGTTTGCTTCTGTGAGCTTGTTGAGTCTGGATGCACATGGCATATTTACATTGGACAAATGGAGCAATTCAACCCAGAATAAATTTAGGGCATGTGACGCCAACGCTTTATGAAGCCAATATTGCCGCAATGCAGAAGGGCTGCGCAGCCAGGGATCCTTGACGAACGCTGGACCCAGGGTCACCAGTGTTTGGCAGCATGCGAATCATAGTCCATGCTTTGTACTGAAGCATTGGTGATCATCTGTTGTGACCTCCATTTTTAGTAGTAGATTCTTGCGCAGGCCAAGTGTGTCTTGGTTTTTTGCCAGCTCTGGTTCTGCCCTTGCAGCTGACTTGTGGGCTTGTGTCAAGGACATTGGACAACATGCCGCAACCGAGGACATGGTGAGCACCATGAAGCAGGCTGTCAGCCTGGCATCGGAGTTCATGCTGCTGGCAGAGAAAACCAAGGTCATGTTCGACCACCAGCTGACGGCCACTCGCCTGTCAGAGCTGGAAGCCGCTGAAGATCAGATTCCTGAGCTGCGCTCAGAGTCGAGTAAGAGGTGGGGCAAAATCCGAGGAGTGACTCGCCTGGCATTCTTGAAGAGGCAGACGAGCCTCGGGTACACCACACTGCCGCCAGGAGAAGATGACCAGTCATCGACACCCACTCTGGGTTAGGATGAGCGGGGCCATTAATTGACTGCTTCCAGGGCTTGCGAGGGGCCAAGCCGTAAGGGGGTGGGAGGGTGGACATGACTGGCGCGTGCCACCAAGAGACCTATGACATGGTTGGGTACTGGCTCGTATTCCTAACTGTATTGTCTGGGAAATCCGTTGCCGTGATGGGGAACAGTGACCACAGGAAAAACCCTGTGCTGTGGGTGAAATAACCCATCTATGAGGGGGAGACCGATCGCTATTATCAGAATGATGACTTGACGGGCTGGCACTGGTATCGGGGCGATGCTTCCCAAAGTATTAGGATTTGCCCGATGCTGACCCTGGATGCTGTTCACACCGCATTGGCTGTGGTTTTGTAACTTGAATCCATCAAGTTGATTGTTAATGGGGAGAATTCTATGATAGGAAAATTGGCAACGTAAGTTACCTTTTCAAGAGTGCATGTGCTGTCTGCTCCATGCAGACAGTGAGTCAGCTTCAGACGTGTCGCAATGTCAGGTGTGATGAGGAGCCCAGCCACACAGAGGATCGATCCAGAGAGAGCAGCATAAGCGGCAGCTGTCCAAAGCACACATGCCGATGTGGCGAATAGCTGGCAGTGTAGAGGAGGATAGGCTACACTGAAGACAACCTCCTGGCCTTGTCGATGTACAATAGTCGCTGCACATATCATGAGCAAGAGCCGCTGGGGCGTCTTGGCAGCAGCCGGTATCCACAGTCTTATACAATAGTAGAACAGAAAACTAATCGATGTGCTTTGGTGTCTCACATCACGGCTGGGGAGGCGTGCACCAACGATCCACAGGAGAAAGCGACCACAATAGTCTGTGCCAAAGCCCACCGGGCAAGTGGTTGTAAGTTGTCAAGTGCTACACCTTTTGGCATGAATTTGGCTGCCTCAGGGCGTCTCGTGTGGACTGAATGATGTGTGTCCATGGACAGTCCAAGGATTTGTACAAACCGCACCTGCTGCTCTGTGCATCCAATTGTCCCCATTTTTCACTCGAGGGGTTTCGTCCATTACCCTGCGGCGAAAATCCACCATAGATAATTTTCAGGTTTGTTCATGACGCCACATAATGACCACCGTTTTCACTGGGTGGATCACTGATGTTATTGGCATGCGATGGGTATCTGCTGTATGCACTGCATGGGATGGCCCGAGTATGCCACCATTGCTGAATTTGAAAAAAAATTAAAAAAACGAAAGAGAAAACACTCCCAAAAATGGGTTATGAGCACGCTGTTGCAAACCTTAGGGATGAGAGTAAAGGAGGTGGAAAACCTAGGAGACAAGGGTTGGTCATGAAATGCCGCCCTGTGTGCTAAACACAGATTTGTATCACCAATCAGCTCCTTGGACTGACTGGATGCAAAGACGATTCTGGGAGGTCCTGGACCTCAAGGGAACAAGTTGTGTAGGTGAATTGGGATAAGCCTAGATAGTATATCCCTGGTCTGAGAAAGACCATCTGGGCTGCTTGACCTAATGAGGAAAGGCCTATAGTCCAGTAATTCACATGAAAAAATAGGGTTTCATGTGATGTGTAAGGTTATGTTCAGGCGGAGGTCTTGAGATGCACTTACACACATAGGTCGGACATGGTAGGTGTGTCAATTTTGTGGGATGTCAGAGACCAGGCACGGTGTCAGTCCTTGTGCTATGCAAGTTTATTTTTAGCTCTCCTACTGAAAATCCTGCATGCACTAAAAGTCATGGGCCAGGATAGAAATGACAAGTCTGGCACATGACTGGGGTGAGGGAGTGAGAGTCAGAAATAGGTTGACTCCATTCACTTTGTGTGCGGACAATACGTTTTACACTTACCCCATGACTTGTTGTGCAAGCCATACTAATTTGGGTCAAAAGTGTTTAGTTATTGTGAAAAAAACTGGCAATGGTTGGCCAAGTGGAAGAAGGGGAAAATGCAGGAGGTTGATTATTGTTTTTAAAAGA